GGTCTCAGGCTGTGACAGAAGGACCCCCCCCCCCCCCCCGGGGAAATCGTAGTTACTGGAGGATGGTGGGTCAGGTAGGTAATGCCAGGGTCATCAGGGCACTGTGTGCTAGTTGGAAATCGGCGGAGAAATCCAAATGCTACTAGAGTCTCTGAAGTGTCTAGCAGCCTTTGGGCTTAAGGTAAGCCTTATCTTCACGGAGTAAGAACTTCAGCGGTTTGCACAGCCGCAGCTGAGCTGGCCAGGTCTTCCAGCTGCAGAAAAGGCAGCGTTTGGCTCAGGGGGCCAGTCACTCCCAGCCCTCATGGGTCCCTGGTAAAGGAAGTGTCTTCTGGGGAAGCAGTGGCAGACTTGATCTGTAGGTGTCTGGCTGTTCTCTGCTGTCTCTGCCCTTTTGGGGTCTCATACACAGAGAAAATATCCTCATGGCAGAGCTCCATCTGCGGCAGCGAAGTCATCACTTCCAGCTCAAGTGTCCTGGTCAGTGCCCTTAGGTTTTGGCAAAGGATTCCGGTAGCTTTTCTTTACCACCGCATTAATTTTAATCTTCTCTGCAGACCGTTGAGGCCATAGCCCTTGATATGAGTACTGCGGCAAAGGGGGACTTAAGGTTTTCTCTTCTTTGCCACATAGAGGCTCTATTATTCCTGTCAGTGGTTTAGGTGATAGACTTGCTCTGGACATCCTGAGTGTCATACTTTTATAGAGACCCAGGGGCTCACAGAAGCAGAAATGATCACTAGCTTCCCAAAGGGGAAGATGAAACCCAGAGCAGTGGGGGGCTTGGCCCAGGAGAGGATGTCTGCTCTGCAGGCTGCTGAGGGGAATTGAAAGCAACGCAGTCACCCAGAGGCCTGAGTAATGAGTCTGGAGAAAAGATTGCTTTGTAGTTTCAGAGATTTGGAGGAGAGAGGCTGGGTTGTCAAGAAGGGCACCCAGCAAGGTGAGGTGATAACACCAGGAGGAAGCCCTAAAGTGGGAATTTTGTTGCCATTGTGGTGTGGTGAGGTGTGGTGTGGTGTGGTGAGGTATGGCATGGTGTGGCGAGGTGTGGCGAGGTGTGGCAAGGTGTGGTGTGGCGAAGTGTGGTTTGAGGTGTGGCAAGGTGTGGTGAGATGTGGTGTGGTGTGGTGTGGTGTGGTGAGGTATGTCGTGGTGTGGTGACATGTGGTGTAGTGTGGTATGGTGAGGTGTGTGGTGTGGTGAGGTATGGCGTGGTAT